CACTAGCAGAGAGAGGCATCCATGGGGGATGACAGCCCTGGAACAATATTGTTGAGTTCAGTCATTCATTTCCATTGAATTTCAACATGTTTACCTGACAAAGGAATAAAATCCAAGCAAAATAACCTGCCTGTTTGCTCCCTTAAAAAAAGAACAGTAAAAAATTATCAAGTGTTTAAATAGTTAGCAGCACAATATATTGATAGGCTCTAAAATATTCCAGGTCTGGAACCTCTCTTTTCCAAAGCACCATGTCAAACAGCTCTTTCCCCACCTCATGTACTCTGAAACTTGTTGACTGAGTAACCCATTCCAAATGTGCAGTCACTAATAAATAACAAGTACCATTCTCTCCCTTTGCCAAAGTCTTTTCAGGATCATGGTTAGTGTGTCTAGAAGATCAATAGATATTCAGGAGAAGAAATCAGTCATTAAGATTATTCAGTACGTGATCCATGAGAGCTGAAGGATTTCTGGAACTCATTTTGCACCCATTTAGTTATTAGGATGAATACGTTTAACTACAGCTGCCTGTTTTGGTATCATGCTGGCCCTGAAAGCAGCATTTTATTCTTCTAAGTCTTTCGCATGACATGGGGATTTTCCTTGTTCCAGAAAGGGTAATTAAAGTGGGATACCTTTTTTCTTTCATTTTCAGTCATAAAATGTGAGTAAATATTCTTCTTCTTAGATTGGTGGCATATCCCTTCCCCTTTTGAATAAGACAATAATGCAACAGTTTTGGCTGGTTGATTTTCAGGTGAGATTTTTATTTTGGTTTGGGGTTTTCCTTTGGTTAAATGTACATTGTCTCTATAGTCAAAATGTCTGTGACTGTAACAGTATGTATTTCTTTTACTGGAGAAAATAGACTTTTTGGTTTTTGTTAACAGAACTAGTGACTTTGTGGAAAATGACAAGTTGCTATTTAGATCTGCTTAGTTAAGTACAGTACACTACAATACAGTATTTCTGAAAGCTAGAACATACAGTACACAATATATATAGCAATTCTATATCAATATATATACATAGTATAATCATTTAACTTTTGCATCTGCCTACAATCATAGAAAAATAATTTTTCACGTGTATCATTCACAACCCAATCAACTGCTGCAGCTATTTGAAGCATTTACCAATAATTATTACAGCTCTATTGTGCTTTTTCATGTTATTGGCTTCTTTATTGTCTTTACAAGAATTTTTTCAGGCTTTTTTTAAAATCTCTATATAGTGAGATGTAGAAAAGTAATTTTTTTAAAGAAAAGGTAAAACAGTATTAGGCTCTACAAAAAATTAGAGATTGTTCCCTGCTACCCTTTCATATCAGAAGAACAATTAATCAAGACAAATAAGGTTATCTATTAGCTCTCTTCTAAGATGTCCTGTTATTTCATTTGTAAAAGTGTATGTCAGACTTTTCCTCTTCCATTCCTAGCCTTTGAGAAAGACGCCAAAAGTGGTCTTTTACTCCTTCCAAATCCTGTTTTTTTAAAGTTTTAATATTTCCTAAAATTATCCTCTGCACTAGGGTGGGGGTAGAATAAACATTGTTCTCTGTATAGTTACACAGAATGTGGCCAGGAATTGAATAAGAAATGCCTCCATCCACGACTGTTAATATATTCCAATTGGATCCTTACTTATCCACTTGATCACCCTTTTTTAAAATGAAAACGAACTCTGAAAGTTTCAGTTTCAGTTCATAAGTTTTTTCTAGGTGAATATTCCCTTTACCATCTTCAGCAACAATCCGTTCCTGTTGGTTTTGAATTATGGATCAGTCCCACTGGACTTTGTCACCGCCAAACTGCTGAAAAAGATGTCACTAGGGATATGTCAATATCTAGATCCAAATAGCCCAGGATTGGGTGTGAGAATAGCCTCATGACTTTGGGTGTCCTTTCTGTATTCTCACCTTGCAACAGATGGCCCAGGCAGCAAGCCTTGGTTCAGAATTAGTAAGATTGCAAACTTATGAGAGCATGGAAATTTATGTTTGTTTTTCTAATTCAGGTACATCTAATTCAGTTGACCTTCATTCCTTTGGTGGATAACATATCACTCCTAAATGAAAATGTGCAAAATCAAGTGGATGAAGGTAGTGGAGGAGGTATTAATTTTGTCTCATTTCTATCTAACTGTGAAGACTGGAAGAAATGAGAGATGGTCACATCAATTACAAACTGTTTTCACTGAGAACTAGCAAATCTATGTCACTGCAAATCAATAGAGTTATTTTGGAGTAAGAAGAGAGGAAAAGAGTTACCTATGCCACAGCTTGGGATTTTAAAATGAGAACTTCAAGAATGGGAATTAATATGTGCTGGAGTTCTTAACAGTCTCCTGCCATCTGCCATTTGCATGTACATGGAGGCCACTACCACATTCTTTTTCTTTCTATTTTCAGTTTAAAAGTTATGGTCTTCCAGCAGTCATTTCTAAGTCTGGCTTTTCTTTACTCTGTGTATACCCATTTGTAAGGGAAGGGGGAGACTATCCTCTCAATATTAGTTACACAGGTAACAAAACTAGATTATTACATGAAGGATGGGTTTGTCCCATTAAGCCAAACAGGTGCCATTTCTCAAATTAATTCCAGTTAGCTGCTGCAACAGAGTGCTGATTCAGTGGTCCACATTTTCAGACCATGCTCTTTGCCTTTTTTCTTTGACTGAATGCTGAATCATACATATTTTTGTAGAGTGTTCTCACTTGACTGAGAATACCAGATCATTTAAATGGCTGCATACCCATTCCACACTTGCCCTGCTAATCCTTTGTAAGGTTCAGTAATTCATTTAGCATAAATACTAGTTTAATGTGTTTCTTGATTTAATTTCTTTGTTGCCTTTTATTTTTCCTAATGCTTTTTTAAACACCTCAATTCATTTTGCATGTTATACAGTTTACAGTTTATATTTTTAGGCTAAGAAGTGGTTTTACAAACAGGATGGTACCAAACAGGTAGATTATCCACACTAGAGATTGTACTTCTAGAATGCAGTGTGTACAGATACAATTGCCTAAGGGAAAGTGAAACTAACAAAATAATCAGCTGGTGAACACTATTTTAACATATCTTCTACATAAAAGACAGTCAGTCATTTGTGATTCCAGAAATCTTGCTTTTTTTTTGAACATGTATTCTTTCTTTTTCATTCTCTGAAGAAATACTGATCTCAAAAATTGTGATGTTCTAAGAAACGCATTTCATATGTGCATATTTTCTGCTTTTCTAAGGAGAGAGAAAACAGGAGGTGATATCAATTTTACAGTTCTATAGATTCTTGCATTGGCAACTTTCCTTGAATGATATAAACATCAAGGGAAGACTGTCCAAATATTAGCTTTATTTTAATATATGGTTTTCATTATTACTCTCATTTTCCATCTCCTCGTTGACCAAGTAGACTTCCAGGGCTAATGCAAGCAATGGTCTCATGTTTCTGTGGTCAGCAGCATTTATATTCAGCTCCTTTTTGCACTTCTTTTCTGTTTTGTGCAGCTTTTGAGGAACACAACAGTTGAAGTAGGTAACACTGTCACCACGAGAGGGAGAACCTTGTACTAAGACAATGTTGCTCTGTGCTACTGTGCTGGGACAGAAAGGGATTTTAAAGCTCTTTGCTGCAAGGTTAACTAAGATGGGAGTCCCTCACTTTGGGGGTGCTTGCACCAAAGACAGGGGGCCTCCCAGGAGAGGGAGATGCTTGAACTCCATACAAGGGACTTGCTTTTCATCTGTGCCACTTAGAGGAAAAGACTGAATCTCCAGTATCTGCTGCTGCTTTTTTCTTTTTTTTTTCTTTTTGTTAATGTGTAAATAACTTGTAAACAATTTATAGTTCCTATTTATTGGTGAAAGAAGAAGTGTTGCCACGTTTATTGGAGTCAGAGCTACTTCTTCACAGATATCTTCAACAAGCATCATTGTCCTTTCGGGGTGTCCTGTTTCCTTTGTTCTAATGCCAGGATGTAGCTTGGACTGCTGTGAAACTTATAGGAGTCCTTTAAATCTGGAATTTATCCCAAATTTCATATATCCTGAACAATAAGTTCCCTAGATCCTTGCTCCAAAGTTCAGGTTCAAAGAAATTCTTAGAATGAGTTGAATGGAAAATTACTGGTTTCCCATTCACTCCACCCATAATTAGCTTTTTGTCAAACGTAATATAAAAAGGCTGCTTAGTTCAGGCAGGACATACTGCATGACTTTGCTTGTCAGCATCAGTGAGGTCCATGCTTAATCCTGAAAACTGATTGGACCAGTACTCTGTGGGCCAAATTCTGCAGGCAGGACCCACGTGCCCTTTTGTTGACTTGAGTCCAATTTCTCTGACAGAGAAGCATATATAGTCCTACAGAAAGCTATAGTCCTAAAAAAATAGTTTTGTATGCATGATTTAAGATGCCACAGGACTGTTCCCCAAATTTTAACCTGTTTCTCCCCGAAGTTTTTACTCCTCATAAAACTGACTCAAGATTTGATTTTGCTCCACCAGGAAGATTTTGTGTTAAGGGCTATGTGATTACATAGTCTCTCCTTGCTGGGAGATTTAATTCAAAAAAGTCCTACAGAACATGGCAGTTGCTTCCCTTTATACAAGGCTTAGAACTTGCTTTGTTCAGAGAGTCCTAAATAGCTTTGAGTCTTTCTTTGGGTTTGATTGGTGATTGTATGTTTATCTTAATTAATTAAATAGTGAGCCACGACAGTTAGTGTAGACAGATGATTCATAGCAATCCCTTTTCCCTAATTTACATCCTTGATGTGTCACTTTTCTATTGCCAGAACAGTGTAAAATCGTTCGGGTATTGGATATTTGGAGCTGATTCCAGGGCTTCTGACTTCTTTACCCAGAATTACTCTGGCCATACCTTTTCTGTTTTGGTAGTCACATATTCATGTGGGTAAAATAAAGTTGTTTCTTTACAATATCTAACTACATAACTGCAAATTCAGACTATACATCAAACTTTTTGGTGGACTTTTAAAAAGTGCTACTGCATTGGGTGTGCAGGAGAATAGATAGCGTGAACAGTATTTCGTCAAAAAAGTAGGACCCCCTTGAAGTACATACAGCTGAACAGCAAAAAAATTCATTGCTGCTGATTATAGTGGCTAAATTGAAGTTTGTAGACTTTACAGAAGAGCTGGCAAGTGCTACTTGTTTTGTGTCTCATGTATGTTCAGGCATGGGATGCACCACTGTAGCTCTGCACCCAGAGATATGGGTTTAGGTGCTGTCCCTTTGCCCATGCCTAGTGATTCCATTATGTGCTCTTTCTTTTTCATTACAGGCTCATTGGTAAAGATAAACAGCAAAAGTCCTTGCAGTCTGGCATTTTTCTGGTTTAGAGGTAGATACTCAGGTTCCCTGCACCCTTATTTAGATTCTTTCTTGTAGGTTCTTTCCTTGTTTCTGTGCATGTGGATGAAACAGTACACCTGCCTGGAGGGAGGGACACAGTATCTTTATAACAGAAAGAAAAATGAGAAAATTGCTTCTTGGTTGTAATTTGGTTTATCTGTTGGTATTTGCTTTTGTTTACATTCAGGGGTGGGCTGCCATTTTCAGCAAGGGACTGGGAGGGAAGAGGCAGAAGGTTAAGAGGAAGCATGTGCCTGAGCCCAAATGAAGCAGCATGCAGTATTGTTCTATATACTGAGCAATTACAATTAGATTAGTAGAGCAGCAGCAGCATTGCCCTGATGTGTTCCATTTTTCAGACATTTACTTTTCTTGCTCCTCCTTCCCTGTTATGGCCTCCTACACTGCTTTAGTGGTTCCCCACACTGCTTTCCAGTAGCTACAAGAGTTTGATGGAGGCTCTTGTGGCTGTCCAAATTGAAGTTATAACCTCCTAGCTGGTGAATACTCCAAAGTCTTTGTTGTGTTTTCCCAAGTGATATCTTAACGAGTGGCAGGCCCTGGCAGATGTTTTATTTTGTTAAAAGAGACAGATAAGCTAGGGGAGGTATGATCTGATTTGGATTCAGTAACCTGCTTGCCTTTGTAATTAGTGAGCTTTATTTTGTCTTCCTTTTAAGTTTTCATTTTGAGGTACCTAAGAGCTTATATGCCTGTCATTGAAATTCCTGCTTTTCCCACCATAGTCCTAGATGGGCTGTGAAAAAAAATACTTTATATCTCCAAGTATTTGCAGGATGGAGGGGAACTGTTCACGCATGTGTGTACCTACGTGAGCAGGAGAAAACTGAAGTTAGTGTTGATCTGTCCAATTGTTTTAGGGTGGCCACAGAGCTGCCATTTTGAAAAGCTGATTGCACTACAGAACCTTAGCTTGGGCACTGTTAAAATAGGGATTGTATATTTGGAACAGGGAAGCTTTTTAGGTTTTTTTATCCACACGCATGCCCTTTGCAAGGCGTACCCTTGCGACTTTGTGTAAAACCACTACTGACCTTTTTTTGCTGTATCCATTTAGTTCTCTCTTCTTTCTGCAGCCCCCAAACAATGGCTTGTCTCCTTTCTGATTTCTGTCATTTGAATTTGTTTTTGATAAATGTCCTATTGGTTAATGAGATCTCCACATCAGCTGGGAGGAGAGAAAACAAGGCATATGAAAGTGTGGCTGGGAGACTGCAAATCCCCCTTTGCTTAGGGGCATTCATATACTTTAACAGAGAGCTGATTTCTTGGGGGCTGGGTGGGATGGGGAGTTTGTGCTTTTTTGGTCTGGATAAGGCTTTTTATTTTTGCACTAAGTATGACTGCACTGCACTGCATTGCACTACTGAAATGTATTTACATGTGGTGGGATTGAAAGGGGCCAATTAAGCAGGAAGGGAGAAGAGAAAGGGATAGGCACAGAAAACAGGATGTACCATAAACCTGACCAGGTTGAAAGAGAAGTGAGGTCACCTTAATTTTAAGCAACTAGTCAGACACTGAGACAGCTGTATTGGATACCTTCTGTTAAAATAAATAAATAAAGCACTATAATAGAAACTGAAGAGGCATCAGAAGTTTCTGGGTGCTACAGATCTTTTTTCCCCTTTTTGTAGAGAGTGTTCTTCAGGGCTGTGAGGAAGTTAAGAGAACTGCTCATTGTGTAAACCAGCGTAAGGCTTCACCATAAAGACACAAATTCCCAGTTCCAATGTCAAAACTGGAATTGTTGGATAGAACCTCTTGCAGAGGTTTGACTATGATTAGCATCCCTTCAGTAAAAGCAGGATCTCTCAGCTCAAGAAGTGAAGTCACAAAGCAGACTTTACCAAAGGGGAAGGTCACTGAAATGAAGCACGTCTTTCCGAGGCTGTTATGGGAACAGTGCAATAAACAGTCATCCTGAACACTCAATTACAGGTGTTCCAGTCAAGCCTTTGGGGTAGAAGAAGCAGGAGGGGCATTTGGGCAAAAAAAGGGTGGTGTGGAATTCAGTATATACAGAAATATTCCTGCTCAGGCAAAGGTGCTGTCTAGTATTTTCAGTTCTTCTCTCTGATTTCTCTCCTTTAACAGATAGTCTAGCATTTTGAAGGCTTTCAGCTGGAACCAAATGGAATCCTGAGCTGGAAAGTATTTTTACAGTCAAGATGCATGTTGACCTTGGTCATTAATTTTGTAACAAGTAAACTATGAGAAAAACAAAAACAGTAGCAATGTGCAGCAAGATCCATCTCTGCTGTAGCTCTTTGTGATCTGTGAACTCTCAAAAGTTTGTGTCGAATCTCATCAGTAAGACTATAATTGTAACTTTAGCCAGATGGTAAAACAGGATCCTGAAAAATATTCAGTAGAGAAACTGGGAGAAAAATGTAAAACATGAGTGCATCCACTTTGGTCCTGTAGTGGAGGAATCATCTGTCTAATGTACCACAGGATTTCATGGTCAAAAAAGGGGAGGTACTTACCCAATTGCTAAGAAAAGGCTAGAGCAATTGGGGGACTAGAAATCTATTCATGTCCAGAATTTTGGCTTAGATTTAAAACTAAGGTATTTTGGTTTCATTAGTACCAAGACATGGGTAGTACAGACCTTTCAGAGAGTGCACAATGCAAAGCAGATTGCTGCTGCTCAGTCTCTTGGGTTGCCTCATTTGACAAAAGTGTCAAGAACTAGAGAAGGAGTGGTATGCAAGAGACAGGTGTTGGATGGGATGGAACAAGTCTGGAACCAGGAGAGACTTTGGAGTTAAGGATGTGTTGTTCTGGTGAGCTTTTAGATTTCCACTCTTAGATTCCAGCCATCCTGGCTTGAAAGGACTGGAAGAGAAGAACTGGAGATACGCCCTGATGTACTGTTAGATTAACTACTGAATGACTCTTCCCTTGAAAGTAAGCAGGACAGTGGAACAAGAAGCCTGTTTATTTGTCATCTGCAGGAACCCTCTGAGATGAAAACCACTGGAAGGTCAACTTCCAGTAATGAGTCGGTGGATGTCCAACAAAAGCACAGTTCATTTGAGAGCCAGCATAATACAGAGGCAGGAGAGCACCTTTATTTTGTAAAGTGGCATTTGCTTCCACAGCTACAGAGCTGTGATATGGGAGGAAATGAAGTCTGTCTGCTGAAGTTAATTCATGTAATGAGCCAATACTCCTGTTTTTTGCTTAGGTGAGTTTTCCTTTGTTTCCTTGTTTAAGGCAGCTGCATATATTGCTACTGTCAGAGTGGATTTGCATTGTCAAAGAGGAGTAGTGGACTGCTCCAGAAAAAAAAGTGAAGCTGAGGGTTTACTGAGCCTGCTGTGTCCAGAGTGCCTTTCCTGCTGTGGTAAAATAAAGAACTTCTGTAGGTTGAGCTGTTCCGGCTGGCTGATTGCTGCATATTCCTCCCTTGTGGTGTGACCTGATGGCAACCATATTTGGACAAGGAGAGGAACACTGCATGTTTGCAATGCTGTGATAAGATGCCATTTGCACTAGTTTTTTAAAAGTACTGCAACCTGAAAAAGTGGGCTTTGAGCCATGCTCCAAATCCATGTTTGAATTCAGCCTGTTCAAACCTGATTCCAGCTGACTCAGTTTCAACTGAACTGTCTAGTCCATGTAACCAGGAAACAAACCATTTTTTAAAAGCCAAATTTCTTGTTTGCACTTGGTTACAGTGCTCAACCATACAAGTTCCTGGGCATAAGCATGATTGTATAGTTTCAATGGCTTTTAAACAAGTTGTTCCTTTTTGCATGGTCAGTTTGAAACTAGTTTAACTGGAACTACATTTAAATATAGCACAAATTCTTTTATTTTTTTCAGCATGGTACTATAGCCCCATGTAGACAGTGCTTGACTGAGAAACCAAGGATAACTTGAGGTTTATTTTAAGAAGCCAAAACATATGTTGCTGACTAGAGATGCCGCGTAATGCCCTATTTTTTTTCTCCAGATGGAGAAACACTAACTTCCATAATTCTCCTCCATTTGTCATCCTGCTTCATTGTTGCACCTTTTCTCCTGAACAAAAATCCCTTTGGCCAGTGGGCTAGATCCAAAACAGAACTTCCCTGTACAGTTTGATCATCTTGTTTCTGTATGTTCCATTCCTCAACATTGACAAGCACTACTGAGGATCAGCTTGACTTTTGCTGGGACTGTGGCATAGTTATGGTTCAAGAAAATGCGAGTGATATTTTCAGCATTATAGTAATTTCAGAGCTTACCCTTGAGGAAAATGTTACGTTTCAGGAGTTCCACAGAAAAAAAATACCAGAATTCACTATGGAGCTTCAGTCACGGTGCTGTGGCCATGTTTGTAGAGAATGCATTTCTGGTGGCTGGTGATGCTGACATTTACAAAGGCAATTCCAAAGCAGCACAGAGTGTATGCTTTCTCATCCCCGCTATGAGCTAAGAGAATTTATACTAATGGAATTAGGGTAACCTGTCAGTGTTCATCACTTTTCCCCTAATGGAGGAGGTTAAGCAACTGCCACATCACCTTAGACAGTCTGAGTTCTCTTCAAAACTGCTTCCCAATGACCTGCCAGCCAGATGCCCTCTCTCACTGATCCCGGTATCCCCATGGCTGAGGATTTGTCACATCAGCCAAGGTGACCAAAAGATACACTTGGCCTCAGCTAGGAGCATTTTGCCTTTTCTTTTCCTTTTGGTTTTCCATCGGACCAAGTGTGCATTTAGTGGTGAAGTAATGTCAGGTTAGCTGAAGCTCCAGATGACGGGAATGGCAAAGCCACATGGCAACTGAGCTACTGTTGTCCTCAAGGACATTGGTAAAGGTGAAAGACCAGGCTCTGGTTGGTGGTGTAGTTGTAAACCTAGAGCTTCTGCTGCTTGCCCCTCCAAACTTGTTTTGGTCAGCTATGCTGTTGCCCTTGAATATGCTTTGTGTGTGAAAAGCTGAATGCAGTTGTTCTGTTGTCTGTCTTCTTTCTTCTGCATCATGGATGTGGCACCAACTTAACTCTCACAACAAGCTTGAGTTTTGTTTTGTTGTTGTTATTAACATGTAATTCTACTGTAGACCAAAAAATATGAAAAGGAAAAAAATTCAGTTTCAAGACATAAAAGACCAGTGAGTGAAAGGTGAAAAATTTAGGAAGTGAAGGTGTGAGAGAAGCAGTGGTTAACTGTGTTAAGTTAGAAATCTCAGAATAGCCTTACGTATTTCTTAACCAATGCTTACCAATCATCCAGTAGTGGGGTTAGATAGCTTTCTTGGCTCATTCGTACCTGTATCCTAATATATATATATATATTTTTTATTTTTGTTTCTTTGGTATTGCTGTTGCACATCATGTTGTCTTTTATAATGCCTGATTTTTATTGTATTGTACTTTATCGGTCTGTTTTGGTTTTGTTTCCTTTTGAAGGATGGGAAAAGTAATGTTTCCTTTTTGTTTTGAATTTTTGAAAAAAAAAAAATGCACTGGAAGTAAACACAAACACATTTTGCCATTTGAAAAAAGGAAAACACACAGCCACGCAGTGGAAAAGGCTAAGAAAAAGCTCCCCTCTTCCTTCTTGTTACGGAAGCATCCTTTAAAAGATATGCTAGAAAGAAAACAATCTCAAACAGAAGAAGAGAGAAGCCTTTTTGATTCTAGCTCTGCCATCTGGAGTATTCTAGCACAGTATTCTGGAGGGTTGGGCTTCTACAGGCCTTCTATGGCCTACAGGCATAAAATCCAAAACCACATGGGGCAAATTCATCCTTGGTGCAAGCAGATGTTATTGCAATGAAGTCAAAGGAGGTACACAGAGGATGGATTTAGCCACATGCGTGCAAGATACAGCTGCCTTCCCCATAGTACCCAACTCCCCACTGCTAGAGTCTTTTGCTGTCAAAACAGTTGGTCTTTTGGCTGTGTTAATCGCATAATATCCCTTGAACATTGTTCAAGGTAGGCAAAACACTTTCCCACTGAATAAATCAGTTCTGGATGCACCTTGGTGTGACACTTTTTGCCTACCAGCTTTCAGCTGTTACCCACTCCCAGCCGTGAGCTGATGCGATCTGTCTCTGGCTTGTCTTTGCCAGAAAAATGGACTTGACTATTAAGCATACTAAAACTTTTGCATATTTAACTACTATGATCCAGAAATGGCCCTTGCACTTTTAAGGCATATGGAAACATCCTCTCTGTCTTTCAAAATGGAAGGAGTTCTTTGCAAGTGAAACGCCACGTGCACGCACACACCCTTGTGCGGTCCCTGGGCTCCTGACCCCAAATTCTTTCCCAGATCTTTCTGTGCCCAGCAGTGTCCTGATGCCATAGTGCCTGGTCATTTGAGAACAGCAGGGCAGAGACTTGTTGAGATGAATGCAAAAAGCATACATTTTAAAAGACAGATGATTTTCCTGTTATGCCAGCATCTTCGAATCCCCGTATCAGCTGATGGGTTTCCCTAACCTGACGACTTTCAATCAGTTGTTGAAACTTTGGCTTTCTCTGTTTTGTTTTCTAAGGAGGGAATGTGGGGTGGGGAGAATAATGAGGTGTTGTTTGTAACTTCACAGTCCTGATAGTTGGTTTTTATCTTCCATATTTTATGCAAAAACAGACATTATAAGTCAATAAATAATTGTGCCCTAGATTGAAAGTTAAGTGTTCAGGAAAGGAAAAACAATGGTTGGCATTTTTCTACATTTTTGTGAAGACTCTTTTGGAAAGGAAGGGTACATATTTTTGTTGTGTAGTATTTTCTATTTTTGAATGCATTTTCTTGGTACAAGACTGTTTTGTGGAATTTTTTTTTTCTTTTTGGTGAACACATTATTTAAAAAAAAAAAGAAAAGAAAGAAAAAACTAATTGAAAAGTTTGCCCTTAAGGATATGCTGCAGTTTTGAGGTTTAACATTAAAAAAAACATTCAAGGCGCGTGTTAAAAGTTGGGGAATTGTATTGTTGGGAGTTTTTTTGTAATTGTTACAAGAAGAAGTTTGTAGCCACTGCTGTTTATTTTGTTTCAGATGAGTAAGTAAAGGGATTGTTCTTGTGTTATTCTTTTTTTTAAAAAAAAAAAAGTTATTTATGAAATGTCACAAACACTGGACTGTGAGTTTGTAGGGAAGCATTTTACCACCCTGTGTCTTCATAGAGCTGTTGGTGATCCTACTTCTCATTACTCTGCCTTATGATCTCCTGAGCAAATTTGGAGGGGATGGCAGGAGAGGGAGAGAGAAACTGAATGCCTTTTTGACTCAGAGACTTGGGGGAAAATTAGGAAACAGTGTTTTGGAATTCTAAAGCTGGACCATCAGCTCTACTCCTTCTCCCATCTATCACAGGAATGAGAAAGGCTTGCAGTCACTGGAGGAGACAGAAAACTTATGGTACCTGGATGTGGCAGTGTGCAAGGAGAAAGTGACTGAGAGACATGATGCTCATAATGACCTCTGTAAATGACATCTGTTTCTCAGTCAACAACTCCCTTAGTTTAGTGCCCTCATCCTGCCAGAGGCTTTTGTGAAAAACTCACCAACCCCACTGAAACCATGAGGTTGGTTTGCATTTTCCATCACTGGTCAAACCTTCTTGGGCACCCCAGCAGTGGGAGTGACCAGTGGGGAACACTACTCATTTTGATCACTGGTCTGGATTTGAGGAGGAGTAGAGGCTGAGGGTGACCAAAGAGGTATGCCATGTTCTCAGTGTTTGAAGAACAGGCTTAAAAAACTAAAGCAGTGCTCCAAGTATTCATGGGACTGGAGAAAAGAGAAAGAGGAAGACACCAACAGCCATAACAGAAACTGGAGATATGTAACTGGGCTACATTTGAGATCAACCAGACTCTTTTCCTTCCTGGACAATAATGCAGCCAAATCTTGAGACTGTCAAGCAGACAGAAAGCTGAATGTGGCCTTCATTTCTCCTGCCTTTCCTTTTTATTGTCCCGCTTCCTTTGCCCTGAGATTTCTTCTCAGTGAGCACCCGCTCCACTGAGCACTTTTTTGCCCTCCACCTAAACTGCCCTTGCTTTCAAAATGTGGGTTCAGTCAGGACTGAGTAAAATCATGTGCCTTCTTTTTCCCCTTTTGTAATTATACCAGCCTCCTCCCCTTCCCCAACTTACACATGTGAGAGACAACAGGAGGAGGAGGCTCTTTAGAAGTGCTACTTGTCTATAGGTATCCAGCAAAACAGTAAGGTGGTGGTGAGAGGAAGGGGAGCTGGGAGATACTATGAGCTCCTTTCCCTTTCCACACGTAGCAGGTCTTCCCAAGGAGACACCCTCCACCACCACCTCCTCAGACGCTCCTCTGTCCTACAGTGCAGCCGTAGTGAGCATGTGGTGGCTCTTCTCTCCCATTTCAATCCTAGCTTTGTGAAGCACTCACTCAATTTCAATTCATGCCGTTTTCAAGTAGTCACATTGACAAGACAAATGCAGTTTGTGGCCTTATCAAGATGACTTAAACCACTAAAAGAAAAAAAAAGGCAACTCATTTCCCTCCCAAGGTTTGTGTCACTTACAAAAACCCGGTCCATAGCAGTTTAGACTCCTTTAATCTCAGTCCATTTTGATGATGGTGGCTAAAGTGACTAGCCTAGAACTTAAATGCTGGACTGTCTGGTCTCACGTTTTCTTTGCTATTACCCTTACTGTCTGCTTGCTTTTCTCATTTTCAACTATACTCTACTTAATGAGGCAGCCCTAGCCTTTGGTGAAAGGTGAGAAGAGCCAGTGGGATCCTGGCACAGGGAAGGTAGTTCATGGACATTTTAGCAACAGAAGGATATACTAGCTGCCAATGCACATTATGATGGGCTGACTGCAGCGTTGTTAGGGCAAATAAACCCCACCCAGTTACTGGAACATCGCTTGTTCCCACATCAGAACCATGGAGAGAAACAAACACGTTGGCACAATGGAAAAGCAGCTCGCAATCCACAGCTGCCCATGGGCAAAGACAGGGACCCAACTGCCACACAGCTTCTCTGCACACTTGCCCACTGCACAGTCAGTGTCCCTGAGGAGCCAAATTTGCTGGAGAAGCTTTTCTGATTGTAAGAATCAGTGCAAAGTAGCCTGAGCCATGTCTGTCTGTCCAGCAGGTAAAGCCAAGGGTGGGCACCCACCTGTGCTCTTTCCCTGCAGAGCAGGAAGCTCCATGCAGGCTTTCCTGGAGCTTGCCCTTCCAGAAATCCACCTGTAAAACCTGTAGCACCTGGGTGGTGGAATGAAAAACCCCTCAATTGCTTCCATAAATGATCCAGTAAATGTAAACATTGTGGATGGGGTATTTGAAGTTTATTTTTTCAGCTTGGCTCTAAAGCCAGAGAGGAGCAGCATGGGAATGGTGCCATTATTCCACCTCTCCCAGTTAACAAGTCTGCATGTGTGCACATGCATACAAGAGAAAGGGTGCATTCCTACCCATCTTTGGTGCTGATGGACTTAAAACATTTGTCCAAAGCCTACTTTTGACACATTTAGAGAACATAAGAATAGACATCACATGCAATATCTGCCCCCGGAAAAGGGAAGGAGGGGGAGGAGACCAGTGTGGGCAGTTGGGATTGTTAGGGTTGGATTATTTTGCATCTTTTGTAAAACTGTAATTTTAACAGTGCCTTATACCTAATTGATGCTGGCACTTGGGACACACACACACACGATAAAAGACAGAACTAGGGAGAGTCAGATGGGTACATCCATAAGACAGAGGTCATTAATCATCATAAAGAAAGCTGTATTGGGAATGAAACAGCTGTGTCAGAATTGGAAACAGTTCAAATATTCAACCTCTAAAGCAATTTCCCTTCCACCACCTCCTGCCTTCCCTCCTTGCCAATGGTGCTGCCCAAGAATAGCTGCCTACACCGAGGCCTGTCACTGCCCCATTTGCTTTTGGCATTGTCAAGTCCAAGGAGTTTAGCATGGTCATGCTTTCCACTGCAATCATGTTTTCCATGGGGTATGTGAATGCCAGTTATTTTGCTTTAAATGCACTTTAAAAAAACAAGAAATCAAATCAAAGCTCCAGACTGTTTCAAATACATAGGGGAAGACAGTGCATATGTGTTTGAACCCAGTTGACTTTATCTCCAGTTCCAATGTACTCCATGCAGTGTGTATGTATAGAACAATGTGTATGCATACAAACACACATGTCAACCTTAAATATCAGCAGACTAACCTTTCTCCTTAAGCTCATGAAACCAGATGCTACACAAACACAGCAGCAGCAGAGGAATTACGGTTGGGCTCTTGAAACAGATCACAAAACATAAAAACAACTACTTGGTCCTTTCTGTACGTTCAATAATTACAGAAGGAATTGGGTTGTAACCGGAATAAAAAGGAACGGTGCTAAATGAATGAATGGGCAAAAAAAAAGAAAGAAAAACAAAAACTCAGCCCAATAACACAGTTAGATTTTAAACCCTAATTTACATATTGGGTTGGTTTGTTACTTTTTTTGGTTTATACGAAAATAAAATTGCATCTAAACTAATTACCACAAAGATAACAAACAAAAAACAACAAAGCAAGCAAACAAAAATGCATCCTGCCCTGAGGAAGCGCTTATTTATGGAGGATGTCAGAAATCTCAAAACTCTCGGCCTTGCTCTCACGTACCACATACTCAATCAGTCCTTTTTTTAAAATGTCTGAAACTGAAAAAAAAAAAAAAAAAAAAGAAAGAAAAAAAAAAAGAAAAAAAAAACTTTTTGAAGCACCTTATGTGGCTTCCCATTCCAGGAGTGGGAGCTGCCTTTTTTTCTTTGAGCACCTTACTGATGTGTTAATGCTATCTGCTGTCTTTTTGTTCCCCTTGGGCCGAGTGGCTGCTGTGAGCACGGGCAGGGCCATGCGGAGAACGCTGCACAGGCACATCCATCCACATTCCCATTCCTCGTGGTGCTGGCTGGGACCCAGATGGGGGTTCCCCAGTTGGTCTTTGCTCTGTGGCGTGGATGGGAGCTAAACGGTGGAGGGGAGAGCGCACGCTCTCGTGTGCGGATGTAAAAAGTAAAAATTGGACATTTTCTTCTTGGGGCCAAAGGAATTCCCAGCAGTCAATAGATGCCGAGTGAATGGGAAACCGCACCCAGGCCTAAATCCTAAAGTCTTTGTGCGGGCAGCCAGTGGCGATGACCACGGGCATTGTCCTGCCAAGGTGGAGGCAGGAGGATTTGGCCTCAGCTGGCAGAGGTCCCCGCGCAGGACATGGATCTCTGCCCGTGTGATGAGACAGCCGCCCACCCGCACAGCCCTGCACGCACCGCTGTGCGCACACACACACCCCACAGCTGTACAGGCATCTCTCCAGAAACACGGTTTGTGATGATGTGAAGAGCAGGTCGAAAGTTTTGAGGGGTTAAGTTCCTTTTTTTTCTCTCATTATACTCTGTAAATGGTATGTCAGTTATCAAAAACAAGCAAATAGAAAATTCTTAAAAAAAAAAAAATACCTTGCATACGCCTTTTCTATCAAGTGCTTTAAAATATAGAATAAATACACACATCCTGCCAGTTTTTTCTTACAGTGAGAGTATCCTTACCTGCCATTTAATATTAGCCTCGTATTTTTCTCACGTATATTTACCTGTGACTTGTATTTGTTATTTAAAACAGGAAAAAAAAAAAATAAAAAAAGAAAATTAACTGTAGCGCTTCATTATACTATATTATTATTATTATTATTGTGACATTTTGGAATACTGTGAAGTTTTATCTCTTGCATATACTTTATACGGAAGTATTACGCCTTAAAAAAATACGGAAATAAATTTTACAAGGTTTCTGTTTTGTGTGGAAGAGTAATTGATGTTGCTAAGAATGATGTTTGTTTTTTTTTTTGTTTTTTTTTTTAATGTTACCAGCACTTTTTTTGTAAGTTTCACTTTCTGAGGTATTGTACAAGTTCACACTGTTTGTGAAGTTTGAATATGAAGGAATAATTAAAAAAAAAAAAGACAAAAGAACGTGGCAGGTGTCTTTGTGTGTTTCTTTGTCTGTGGAGAACATGGAAGGTGGATGGCCAGTGTCCTGTGGACCTCTCTTAGCTCTGATGGGGCATGACAGGAGTCCTGCTGGCACCTGTCTGCAGTGTCAGCCACAAACACTGCTGTGTTGGGATCATTGTCAGGGCTGAACATCAGCAGGAGTTAATGTTGGGCCCACATACCTGACAGTCTGGGGTACTGGCATCCGAGATACTGCTCAGAGATAAAATTAGAGAATTCCCATTCTTCTGATTTTGAGCAACCCTGCATCAAGTCTGTTAAAGCAGGACATAGCACTTGCCAGCCCTTGCCAGCCCCCTCAATACCAGAAATGTATTCTGCTGGTCAGTTCAGGCCCTGAAAGTGCTAAGTGCTCCTTGGGGGCAGTGGGATCACTTTCAGGGGTCTCACATGTCCTGGATTTCCACTTCTCAACAATGACTAGTCCTCAGTCTTCCAGTTTCAATATTTTTCTTTCCTCTATCATTGCAACCTGTGAATTTAAAAAAAGTTACAGCAAAAGTGATGTGTGATGTGAAAACCAGGGCACAGACACTGCCAAGCTCGGGCTGCTGAGGCTGAGAATTAGTACTGTTGCACAAAGCAGAGCTGAAAATGCAGCTGAGCACCTGCTCACTTCCCAAACACTGCTCCCACTTAATCAAAACCATGGTGGGTCCAGAAAAGCCCCTAATTTTGTTTCCAGGTCATATACTACAAACAGTTAGGTTTACTTTAGGATAATCAGCTTTGTGCTTGGAGCAGAGTGGGACCCCTGAAAGGAGACCACAGTACCCTCTCTTAGCTCTTTCTCCCTGTGAAAATTAGGACCAAATTTGGCCTTTTGTTTCCTGCTGCATGCAGAGCATGCAAAACTATGATTCTCTTAATTTTCCATAATGAATGAAGGGCAGCTATCCCAGCAGCCCTCTGACCCAGGAGTGTTAGAAGGGAAAGGACCTTCCCTGATGGGAGAAGCCATGTTGGATAAACTGCTCCATGAACAGCTACAAGGGAAGTTTCAGCATGGAACTAAAATGCTGTTTGTCTCCCCTCTAGCAGAAATGCCAAGTTGTCACACGTCTAACGTCTCAGACCTCCCTCTGAGTCACGAGGACAAATGCGCAGAAGTCGGCTCTGGGTGCTGAGGTTTGCTGGGCCACAAGCCACGGCCTTCCCAGGCATGTCCCCTGTGTGTCCCTGGCAGTGGCCAGCCTGGGGGGGCTGAGACATCAAGAACCCGGGCTTGGTCCTACCTGAGCTCTTAGCTGAGAGACCTTGCTGTCACCTTCATTTGTGACAGACCTGGGAGGAGCCAGAGAGGTTCAGGTACAACTCTGCCAAGAACAACAGGGTTGATCTCACATTCACACACTGTCCTCTCTCAGCCTCACCTTCCACCCTTTTCACCAAACCAGTCCATTTTTGTTGCAGTGTTCCCACTACTGACCAGAGTTTCAGTGAGTTTGGGAGATGGGCTGGTATGACCACACCAAGGGTCTTGCTGTCTTAGGAGGAGGTTTGGGATGGGAACTCAGTGGAGGAGCAAGGAGGAAATGGAACAGAGGTGATGTGGGATGTGTCCAGCAAGGAGGAAATGGAACAGAGGTGATGTGGGATGTGTCCCTATACCAACCCCATTGGCTGGAGTGCTCCTTAGTGGTGACACCACTATGTCATAGTGGATGAGGGAGAAGCTCCTACAGGAAACCTGTCACCACTCAAGGAAGAAATAAAATCTCCCAGACTGTACCCTCACATTTGGTCTGTGGGGGAGAGGTTTCTCCCCTGTGGCTTCTCTTCTCCCCTGTGGCTTCTCTGTGGGACAGGGTCAATGCAGCTGTGTGGTATTCCAGCACACTTAGACACACAAGATAAGCCTAAAATGAGAATCTTGGCATGAGCTTCTCCTCAGAATCACACCTGTAGTAGCTGGGAGTGGGAAAACTGGGAAAATAGAGCCTAGAAATAGGCTTCTGGGGAGCCTGTGTCCTCAGTAAACACTTGGAAGGATGTAGGACATCTCACATGGACACTTTTGGGCGTGCACATGCAGACATACATTTCTACCATCACAGAGAGGTTTCCCCAGGGGACCCTGAGTCCTAGCCTCAGCTCAGCCCTCTTGGGGACTTGGACCTCAAGATTGTATCTGAAGATGCAGTTGAACACAGAAACAAAACAATAGGTTGGTTCAATACCCTTTTTCAGAGCTGCTAAGGTCAGAAACCTCTGTCCATGAGACATTTGTTTTAGTTTGAAATGCTCAACCAGGAGCCTGTTGGCAGGGCTATGCTTCAGCTGCTTGCCAAGAGCTGGGATGGCAAGGTGCCACCCCAGGGACAGCAGCCATGACCTGGGTGTGTTCAGCCAGGGTCTGGGCTGGTTCCCTGGCCCAGCCTGGGGTGCTGGGTGTGCACCAGTTTTCCCCCAGCACGGTAAGAGCCGTGTGACTGCGTGGTCTCCTCACCTCACTGTGCACTTCACTCACTCAGTCAGGTGGTAAGTATTAGTGAGGCCTATATTCTTGAGTTATTTCATGATTATAATAATCACAGATGGGCTGGGCCATGGCCAGAGCTCTCCCTTACCTGCTGGAATGAAACAGCAGCCTGAATCCACCAGCAGTGCATGTACTCCCTCTCCAGACTGCAAGATTGTCAAAGGAAGCACAGGATTGCTTTCCCAAGCTAAACACGGTCCCACGAGTGCTCCTTGCAGACTTTTCCCCCAAGCCTCAGGCTCCTTGCAGCCATGGAACTGGGCAGTGGATGTCATGTGCAGTGGTAGCCTCCATTCTTGAAACCTCAGCTTGACAGCACAAGCCACGAGCAGGCTGCTACATGTTGATGTATGGCCAGAGACACAACAGGAGGGATGGATGGCTCAGCAAGTTGAAATGCAAGGGCTGTACACCCAGCCATGTGATAAAGCAGGGGCCATGACAAAGAACCCCCTCCAGAGTAGCAGCCAAGAGCCTTTCCCAGCCCACCAGCAGGGAGGTGAAGCTGCACTGCCAGCTGGCACAGAGGGCTGAGCTCTGTCAAGATCGGTCTTAAGTTGCTGATGTTGGGTTTTTATTCCTAAAGACCCTTCACTATAATAGAATATATATATTCTATTATAGCTAAATTGAGTCAATAGCTAAATTGCCCATGCAGGAAAAAGATTAATCCTGTTAATGTACAATTGTTTACAACATTAAGAAAGAAATGCAAGATCCATACCTGGGAGATTTGTGGCTCAGTGCTCAGGCTACAGCACCACTCCCAGATTAGGATTTTCAGGAATGCATATTTAAAGCTTCACACTTGCATATCTCAGAGTATGGAAAACGGAACATGATTTTTTTTAAAAAAGAACGAGAAACTCAAAGGTTTTTTGGGCCAACATTCTCACAGAACTAGAAATGCCTCCTTGTGCCAAAACAAGGATGAATAATACCCATAGGAAAATGTGAAAAGTTCAAGTAATTTTTATCAAACCTGCAACTTTTTGTAAGTGCTGCTAAGAAAAATAAATTAAGTTACAGTCAAATTTTGTTAAAAATAGCTTGTTTTTTTCAGAAGGGCTGCAGTCCTAATGTTCCCACCGGATACCCATGGGATGCAGAACAGTTGCAAACAGTAACTCTGATTTCTGGAGCCCACACAGATTTATGAAGTGCAGCAAGGTCAGGTCCATGGGGACAATTCTGTGACTCTACCATAGCTCTGTTTCAAAGGAGGCAAAACATCTACACAGCTCCCCAGAGCTGAGCTCCATCCCCTTTTGAAAGAGGGATGTAGCTGATTTGCTTTGTTTGTCATTGCTTTCCTGCCATTTTCCTTGGCTGACCAGTTCACTGGTGACTCTGTGATCCGAAACCCCAGGCTGAAGCACAGTAGGAGGATGAGATATCATTTCACCAAAGGAACAAAATACGTGATTCCCTTCGGGAAACACAGGAGGATGCCATTACACAACTGTATGGAGAGAGACCAAATACTGCCAGCAGTGCTCCCATTGCACATCTTTTTGAGGATCAGACATATTCCCTGTGGCCCTGGTGAAGTGGGGTTGACTATGCTTGGCATAGGTGCTTGCTTTCATAATGATCATTATCCTCATCAGTGACAGCTCTGTGACTCTCATACAAACACTGTGCAAGGTATCCTGCAGACCAAGTCATTATATAAGAAGGGAGGGAGGGAGGACATAAATATCATTAATGCAAGGAATTAAAAGTATCTGTAGAAACTGAGCTGTACCAAAAAAGCTCTCTGTGCCTTACAAACCATCAGAGAAGGGGCTCCTCACTCACATCCACCCCACTATGGGCTTTAAATTCAAACATGGGTGCAGAAAAGTATTCAGCTCACATGGCCACTTGTGCCATTAGAAAACTGCAGGCAACAGCATTTTAGCATTTCTTTCACCCAGGGACTGTCCTTGTAGCACACCACTGATGAACCTCCCTCCAAAGCATGGCTGAGCCTTTCCCCAGTTTTAAATTCCCTGGCTGTTTCACAGGGATTTCACGCCAGGCTTTTCTGCCCAAGCCACAAGAAATGCATGATAACAGCACTGGCAGTATTGCTGACCACAGTCCCATCTCTCTCATCTTGTCTCATTAAAATAAGCAAGCAAAGAAGAATCCTGCTATTCAGACAAATTCTATTTTCCATATAGCCACATTGTCCATCATCAATTAGCCTGATGAATGAGGCAGAGCCAGCTGTCTGGAAAAGCCTAAAAACAAAGCAATCAAAGGAAAGAAAGAAAACAAACAAATAATCAAACAACAGGAGCCAAACTTCCCCAGACAACAGCACAACCCTCCTTTTTTTTTTTTTCTTGCATAATTTTGAGGGCTTGTAGCATTAAGGGATGGACTGAGTGACAAAAGCGACTTTCCCCCACTGCAGATGAATGGTAGCATTTCAGACAAACCCCAGGATTTCTCATTCCCTGTCTGAACCCCAGGAAAGCCATCATAACCCAGCACCCTCCCTGGACCAGCATAGAGGTGCTGGTCAGTACACACCAGCACAGCGCCCTTGGCAGGAGCAGCCAGGCCACTACCACCAAGCCATGAAAGCAACAAGCAATAGCTCTCACAACTCCCACTCCAGCAGACATGGCTATCACAGAGAGAATTTAGGAAATTATTTTAAAAGCTATTCTCTGAAATAAGCATAAACAAGCATGCCACCGACCTGCAGTCAGCTGCATCTGTCTGCAAATGCATTTCTAGTCCCCAGTTTAGCAGTTCCAGGGAGGGAGACAAACCCTCCTGTATCCCCTGTGGTGGAAATAATCCATAAGGAGACCACTCTGATGTTTTGCTGGGGAAGGAAGCGTGGAGAAGACTCTGCAAGCTCCTGGCTTTAATGATGATGAGGGGAAGAAAGACTCCCAGGCCAACAGATCCTCATGCTCTGAAATTCATGACCTGCCACCCCATGTCACAAAGCTCTGGGTTTTGTGGCACCTCTGTGCCCACCCCAGCTCCCAGCAGAGAGCAGCTCTGCAGCCCATAGGAGTTCAGTCTGCCCCAGGGATTTGGGCAGCAGTTTCTTTGCCTTTGCCTAAGTCCTGGCCTTAAGCAAGCTGGCAAGGTACCTCTAAAGTTTGCAGCTTCTTGTGTTTTCTTGGGTCTTGAAATTCCCTCAAAGCTTTACAGAAGAAATCTGTTAGCTCGTCTCTGCTAAATCAGTCTCACAGCTGAGCCCCAAACACTTGTGGCAGCCCTGCCCAAGGCCTGTGCATTGAAGCCTGGAAAGGCTTGCTCCAGGCTGCCCAAGGGCAGCTTTACCAAACTTTCAGAGAGTGACCACCACCTTGGAGGATGGGCTTGCCAGCTGGGAGTTCTCCAGCATCAGTCTAATTATATTTTTTCTTCACTCCAGTTCTCAGTCTACATCTCTGATGCATTCACCCCCTCATGCTGCCAAACAAGCTCCAGGACAGGAGCTTCAGCAAAGCATTGACAAGGGCTCCTTTGGTCCTGACAGCAAATGCAGCTTGTGCTGCTCTCACCTTCCACCACCTCCTTCCCCAGGCTTAACAGAGCACCAAAACTTCACATGCTCTTAATTTTCCTGCTCTTAATTTTTTTATCTCTTGCCTGCACAAGTTCCTTTTAAAGCCAGACAGTCTTGCTCCAAGGGGATTTATAATCCAGCACACTGAGGTCAATAGCTTGACTTCAGAGCTGCTTTTGGCTTCCAGGACGCTCCATGGCCTTCACAAGCTGTGGTGTGACAGCTCAGGGCTGAGGTCTCCAAGTGCCCCTTGGCTCAGAACTGCATTAGCAACCTGAGCTGACCATAAATACAGGCTGCTGAGTTTAAGATCTCATGCACGAAAGGAACTTGAAGGCATTTAAATCCTGTTTCCTCTCCATGCTTCCCCTGGGTTTTAGATGACACCTACCTGAATCCATATATTTTCCCACACACTCCTTTTAATCAGACCTTTCTTTGGTCCATTCTCAATCTGTTTACATGGCTTTTTGGAAGGTATTTTAGTGACTCTGTTTCATCACAGTGCCCAGGCTTATTTGGGTTTATGTCTTTGGACAGTCTCCAA